ATAATTTAATAATCGTCGGTTTGTTTTATTATTCGTCACAGCTATTTGTCAGATTCTGTTCATTTGTATAAAACATTGCAGTATATTTATGTATTAGTAAATTACATGAACATTTTATTGTGTTTGAATTCATAGCGAGTACTTGCTTGAACAGTTTCTTCTTGTCCTTTTTTCGTTTTAACTTCTTCAGATATCTCTTCCAGGTGGCGTGCTTGTTCGTACTGTTTTCTCATATAAGTTAATTCTGTCTTCACGTCTTGAAGGTATGAAATTGCTTGCTCTCTCGTCATCTACAAATTACAGCAACGTATTTATTTATGGTCTCATTGCATATTAACAACTGATCTACGAGTGTAGGCTTTCAATTTAAATTCCCTAATAAATCGTAACATTTCAACTAATAATAAAATAAATCATGCTTTTAATGAAATAGCTTGATACGTGTGCTATATTAAATAAAGTCATTATTGGTTAGAATGTTTAATATATCTAATTGTGTTATTTCTAATGTTTATTATTATATTTTTATTACAGAGATTGTTTTACATTGTGAACTTACAAGTATTTGGGATTAACCTAAATCTCCTAAGCTGGCCGAACCTCGTGAAATATTATTGGGTTTACGGCCAAAAATATTGTTAACAACGAGGGTGGCCATCTGCATTATAATTCTTATAAGTAAAATTGTAAGAAAAATATATTGAATTAGCTAGATTCATTACCAAGTTGAATTTTTACTCTCGTTCTAAGTAAGTAGCTTGTTCTGATCGGAAGTTAACATTAATTGTTGAGAAAACAATTGTTCAAATAACAAAATAAATAATGTTTTTAATTAGATAGATAATTATCATTTACAAAGTAAACTAAAATCTGAAAAATAAACGAAACAGCATTTCTATTAAAATGGTATACTCTAAAAGATTATTTAAACAACAACAAAAACATAATTAGAGGTGTCTTATGACTTATGCTGTTTACCAGATTGTATCTGAGAGTTTACACCTTCAGGATACAAGATCAACAGCAACTTTGAATTTGGTTGTTTTGTTTTTGAAATTTATGTGTCTGTTATATTCATCTTTTGACTTTAAAAAACATATCGCGTTCAAAATCTGAATAGTTCAGAAATATATTTCTAGATAGCGCTAGGAAACAGTGAATATCATTCCACATGTTGTACGCTTTACGAAACATTCCCATATAAGAAATTTGGTCATAAAAACCTTGTTCTTTGATGATTTTTTCTGAAGATAAGCAAGCATCTATCAATTGCACAATACCCACCAATCCTTCTGTTAGTAATTCATCAATTGCCATGGCTACTCCTTTCTCATCGTCAGTTCTCATAATATAGTCGGCTAAATCTGCAGGAGAATATTGAAGACCAGAATACTTGGTGTCAAAGTCCTAGAAAAATTACAAAGAGAAATATTACATATTAAGCCAGTTATATGAGTCTTTGTATTCCTAATTTTCTGGGTCCTACCGAGCAGTCACTGTCGTACAATTCTATTATGCTTTCTGCACTTAACATGAACTAAAGCGTGCTAACTCTACATTATTGAGGGTTAGTTGTGTTTTATAAGAGTGACGTTCTAGGTCCGGTGTTGCCTTTATATTATACATTCTCTTCTGACACCTCATCGGGAGACTTGACAAGTACGTGGTCTAATGGGATTGCTGTGATTCCGGTTTCTTCGGCCATCCTTTTTTCAAGAAAACTGTCGTTGATTTAGAAGTGTGTATGGATATTTGTGGACGTTTGCTTTATTTTGAGTGTTGTCTTATTAATGATATTTTGAGATATGCCCAGCTTCATTACAATTGTTTTTGGATCAAAAGGTTCTCTTTCGTAACTATAGCCTTCGCATTACGGACAGGTGCGTTTCTCCGGATTAGTGTGGGGCGTGGTTAAAGAGCCCGTTGTTTTCTTAAAGCAATATTTATATGCAAATCATTCTTATAAAGTGTGATTAATCCTCTGTATTGTGGTTATTTTTTTTTGCATCAAAAAGTCTTGTTTCATTGTTCGTTGCACTTTATTCTGACAATATTTTATGATAACAAACGCTTATTTAGTAACACAAAATAGCCCCTCTTTACTTAGATTGTCAGTAACGTAGTCTATAGAAAATGAATAACTAAAACTATATATGACTTTGTTACAGTAATAACAATGTTATGTTTTATATAGCTCTGTGAAAATAGAAAGATTTAAATCAGTGAAAGCAATACAATGAACAGGTCTCTACTTTTAATCAAATACCAACTAAAAACACCTTTTTTAGATATCCCCAAACAAATATTAATAATTTGTGAGAATGACGATTGAAAATTAATAATGGTATGACTTTGAATGGGACCATCTATTTATTTATGTATATATATATGTTCGAACACAAACGCAGAAATATGCTTGTTTGTTTTCGAATTTCGCGCAAAGCAATGTAAGACTAGAGGGAAGGCAGCTAGTCATCACCGCCCACCGCCAACTTTTGGGCTACTTTTTTACCAACGAATAGTGGGATTGACCGTCACTTATAACGCCCCCACGGCTGAAAGTGCGAGCACGTTTGGTGTGACGGGGATTCGAACCCGCGATTCTCAGATTGCGAGTCGAGCGCCCTAACCACCTGGCCATGCCGGCCCAAGAAATATGCAAGAGCTTTATAAGCAAAGAATTGAACTATTATTTCACCCAGAATGACCACGTTGAATTTCGTTTCGAAATGACGACCTTAGAGAAGCTTGAAAACGGTTAAAAGACACAAATAGCATAAAGTATTGTACCATATCATTGCAACTTACCTCTGTTTTCTCTCTAGTTTCAGGTTCTTTCCATCCCAAAGTGTCCTTCTTCTGTTCACTATTTACTCTGTCCATGTCAGAATCGTCATTACTCTGCACGTTTGTTCTGTGGATCGCTAATGAGGGAATGTCCACTTCAGTTTTAGTCGAAATGTGAGGTTTTCTTTCACTGGGTTCCTTATTCATCTCCTCGGTTTGTTTCCAATGGGTCAAGAGTCGGTTATTCTCGAGAGCTTTTATCGGGATGGGAAAAATATAATTTTTTTCCTGAGCACTGATATTATGTGTTGTTAAATAAACATAAGAAATAGTAAAAAAACGTATGGCTGAAATGTTCAACCAATAAGGATTTCAGAATATGTTATTTACATATTGAACTGTGAATATTTTTTCAATCGTAAGCACATGTATTACAGTGTATTATAAGTATACGTATTGCAGAGAATTATAAATACATGTATTACAGTGTTATAAGTATCTGTATTACAGAGAATTATAAGTGTATGTATTACAGAGTATTATAAGTATACGTATTACAGAGTATTATGAATACATGTATTACAGTGTATTATTAGTACATGTATTACAGAGTATTATAAGTGCATGTATTACAGAGTATTATAATACATGTATTACAGTGTATTATCAGTACATGTATTACAGTGTATTATCAGTACATGTATTACAGAGTATTATAAGTGCATGTATTACAGAGTATTATAAGTGTATGTATTACAAAGTATTATGAATACATGTATTAGTGTATTATCAGTGCATGTATTACAGAGTATTATAAGTGCATGTATTACAGTGTATTATCAGTGCATGTATTACAGAGTATTATAAGTGCATGTATTACAGTATATTATCAGTGCATGTATTACAGAGTATTATAAGTGTATGTATTACAGAGTATTATGAATACATGTAAAACAGTGTATTATCAGTGCATGTATTACAGAGTATTATGAATACATGTATTACAGAGTATTATAAGTGCATGTATTACAGAGTATTATAAGTGTATGTATTACAGAGTATTATCAGTGTATGTATTACAGAGTATTATAAGTGCATGTATTACAGTGTATTATCAGTACATGTATTACAGAGTATTATAAGTGCATGTATTACAGAGTATTATAAGTGCATGTATTACAGTGTATTATCAGTGTATGTATTACAGAGTATTATAAGTGCATGTATTACACAGTATTATAAGTGTATGTATTACAGAGTATTATAAGTACATGTATTACAGAGTATTATAAGTACATGTATTACAGAGTATTATAAGTGTATGTATTACAGAGTATTATCAGTGTATGTATTACAGAGTATTATCAGTGTATGTATTACAGAGTATTATAAGTACATGTATTACAGAGTATTATAAGTGCATGTATTACAGTGTATTATCAGTGTTTGTATTACAGAGTATTATAAGTGTATGTATTACAGAGTATTATAAGTGTATGTATTACAGAGTATTATAAGTGCATGTATTACAGAGTATTATAAGTGTATGTATTACAGAGTATTATAAGTACATGTATTATAGAGTATTATAAGTGTATGTATTACAGAGTATTATAAGTACATGTATTACAGAGTATTATAAGTACATGTATTACAGAGTATTATAAGTGTATGTATTACAGAGTATTATAAGTACATGTATTACAGAGTATTATAAGTGTATGTATTACAGAGTATTATAAGTGTATGTATTACAGAGTATTATAAGTGTATGTATTACAGAGTATTATAAGTGCATGTATTACAAGTATTATAAGTACCATTACACACAGTAGTGTATCTTGCGGATAAATACACACTGTGTGTTATTAAGCAGGAGTGATAGTTTAGTGATTTTCCTTCTGTAGATCAGACTGTGGTAATTCAAACTATCACATATTTTCAGTGGATGTGCTCTATTGGACTGTTACTTCACATACAAAATTTCAAGGCAATCCATTAAGAAATAACTGAGATATAATATCTACAATTTTGATTGAATTTCTTCCTTTTTTTTTTCTTCGCACCAAAAGTATGGACATTTTATTTGACAGAAAAACATATTTAACTTTAACCCTACAATTAGGAGCTCCATTTGGTGTAAATAAAAGTCACATGTGAAAAGTTATTAAACAAAAAACCGCTCAAATGTAATGAAAATTTTTGCGCACGCCCACGCAAAAGGTCACGTGAGCTATCGGTTTAACATTTTTACTTCAGCTTCACCGTAGAGTAAAAGCGGACCGTTTTTTTTGGTCATTCAGATTAAAGACGGCTGATTTAGAACAGAACAGCAAAGCCCTCCAGTGGCACAGCGGCATGTCTTCGAACTTACAACGCTAGAAACCGAGTTTCGATACCCGTGGGCAGAGCACAGATAGCCCATTGTGTAAGTTTGTGCTCAATTAGAAACAAACAAACGTACAATAATCAAGCCCCCCTCCCCCAAAGCATCTCCAAATTTAATAGTATTTCAGTATTAAAACTTTCCACAGTGACTTATTTGAATTCTGGTTAGGGGTTCCTGGCAGTCTATTGTAAGTCTGGATGTTAAACTGCTGTTGGACTTGACGTGCGGAAATGACATGATGCTAAAAGAGGAATGTTTCTTTCTTCTGGAATTCTATTAATTCCAAGCAGCGCACGAGTCCCCAGAATGTCGCAATAAGAAAAAGCACTCAAGATGTCATTAACTATCACCAGAGGATTAATTTCAAACGAGAAAAGCAGGCTCTAATCGTAATAATATCACCACCACTCTTCACTCTCCAGGCTGCTGTCAGGCTCAGACTTGCCCATCCAAAGTAAACAATACATTGCTTCACATACTGTTTCTTCAGCCTAACTGCGGCGCTCAAGGCACCATGAAAGCCGGAGTTTTGCATTCACGGCTATAATGAGTGGCTTATGTGTTGTAGTCTGTCCAAGAAATTCAACTGAGCTTTATGTCAGATGTCTATTCATTTCAGAGTATATTTCCAATTTCTAAACCACGCGGAGTGGTTAATTTTAGGCAGCCGAGCTAACGTTTCATATTAACTCATCCACTAGTTGTTCAGTTTTACAGCCCATTAGCCAAGCTAGATTTAAGAAATGTCTCAGATGTTCATACTGTTTTTAACGAATATAATAATTATTCTTGTTTAAATGTTCATATTCAACCGCCTCTCTCCTCTTACCACCAACTGTTGAAGAACGAATTAAATGGGTATTGACCCATTACAAACTGACGTTTACTGTCTCAGTGTCTGTGGTAATGTGTATCATGTTAGAGAGAGAGCTCATATATGTTTTGTTTTAATTTGAACGCCTTTTCTAAGTCGGCGAAGCATGATCATGATCAATCATACTTGTCACATTACTATCAGTCCTATTATATTTTTAACACTACATTTTTTTTATTCAATCCATCAAAAAGAAGAAGAGTGTTTAATAATATTTCAAACAACGCCATGTTTGTCATGTTCATTGCCGACGACACGTTTCGCTTAATACAGAGTTCATCAGGCTGGCTGGGATAAAACAAATACACTAATGTTCGGAATGATGTTTATATAAGTCATTTGTTACAACGACAGTGGACTGAATAAAGAATGTAATGTTAAAATTATAATAGGCCTAATACCAATGTTTTATAATAAGTATGCTTGATTACATATATGTTTGTTACTTATCAAGTCATAACCCACAACACCATTTATCGTGGTTGTAAACTCAAATTTGTCAAGTACTGAAATGTTCGTTCAAGAACACTTGTTAAATATATACTTTGACTTACAGAAACACTTATGTACATACAAAAAATTAATATAAAAATTATCTGTATTATCTTAGTGTTAAGCTGAAAATAGAAAAAGGGTGTTATATCCATAACAAATATACCCCCTCCTCCCCGGAACATGTATAGTTCTATTGTATCTTGTTGAACTTAATTTTTTTTTTTCATTCACGTAATTTGTAATTATCCGATAACTTACTTTAAACATTTTTTTTTTATCAAACTCTTTCACATACAAGTGCTTTAGATGTTTTAAAGCTACAAGTTGGCTTATTGGTATACTTCTTATATAGATATATTTAATTAAAATAAGTCAGTTCAGTATATGTCTTGGGAATGTTTTATCAGCTCCACTCAAACGTTTCTTAGAGCCACAGACAAAGTTATAAAACGTAAGATGTCGTTTTTTTATTGTATGTAAACTACTATCATTTGTGAAAGTATTCAGAATCAGACAAAAATAAAAGGTTACGGATTTAACTCACCCACGCTTTCTTTTGTCTTACTAGCCTGTTGATGACCGTTAATGTCTTTAGTATGGGAATGCTCTGTCTCCATAAAGGCAACTTCATTACCTAAATCACAGGATACATTTTAATGCATTTGGTAAATTGTATTTAAGACATATTTCATGAATTAGCGAAATTTTACTCATCTATAGACGTAATGTTTGTTTCAACTGATGTTTGTAGATGGCGCTGTATTTAGTATTGTGGTCGTGTTTGAAACACAAACCTAACACCACTCAGCAAAATATACATAATAACCAGAAGATATACGTACACATGGAGTTTATTTATTATTACCATTTCACCAAGAAATGGGCCCGGCGGTTAGGGCGTTCGACTCACAATGTGCGGGTCGTGGGTTCGAATCCCCGTCCCATCAGACATGCTTGCCCCTTTCGGCCGTGGGGGCGTTATAATATGACGATCAATCCCACTATTCGTTAGTTAAAGGGTAGCCAAAGAGTTGGCGGTGGGTGTTGATGACTAACTACATTCCCACTAGTCTTTCACTGCTAAATTATGAAAGGCAAGCATGGATAGTCCTCGTGTAATTTTGCACGAAACTGTTAAACAAACAAACCACGAACTGTTGAAATAACCATACAATTGGACATACAGTGGAAAATAAATCGTAACAGAGGAACCATTGGAGGCGGCTCTCATTTATTTACATCTCTTCATCTGTATATTTATTTATCTATCAAGCAATCTATCTACATCAATTTACAAATAATCGCAAATTTTGTTATGCATTATTTTTTTTTTTCAACGAAACGCTCACATTGATTCGAAAAAGTAATAACAGGAACTGTAAGCTCTCTTGGGTTTTATTTACATATTGAGTGTTGAACCTATGTTATAAGTATATATAACCAATCAAGCTAGAGCCAAGTATTTTTATGAAAATCAAGCCTTTTGTTCATTTGTATCAACTTTTCCCGAGTTGTTAAATTTTAAAGATTGTTTGTTTTGAATGTTGCGCAAAACTACAACACGGGGGCTATCTGCGTTAGCCATCCCTAATTTAGCAGTGAATGATTAGAGGGAAGGCAGCTAATCATCACCACCCACCGCCAATTCTCGGGCTACTCTTTTACCAACGAATAGTGGGATTGATCTTCACATTATAACGCCCCCACGGCTGAAAGGGCGAGCATGTTTGGTGGGACGGGGATTCCAGCCCGCGATCCTCAGATTGCGAGTCGAGCGCTCCTAACCACCTGGCCATACCAGGCCAAAATTTCAAAGAACCCATGTTTTGTATTCCCTGCAGTTTTGAGCTCTGGGTCTGATATACAATATAGTATTATGTCACACAATTTTAATTTCTATAAAACCTTTTACCTAAGGACTAAATTATTTTAATGAAACCATTTGGGGAAAAATATTCATCCCTTTACTTGGAAATTAAGATATTATCTTATATGCAAAGTATTCCGAAGTTTAAGGAAAACACATTTAACTGAATCGAATATTTCAAAAATCTCAAACTTTTATGTTCAAATTCTCCTGTTATACATCATAAACAGAGATTATTATTGAGCATAAAGTAATACATGATAGAATGAAAAACATTATAACGTGTTTCTACGTTTTACATGGCATGCAGTACGTTGGTAAACGCCCACTTTTTCGTTCTAAACGCTAATATCATATAATAAAGTTTACAGTCGCCAACACTCGTTTCTAAGGTGACCGACAAATGGAACGCAAGCGTAAGAATTTACGGCTTTGTATTGAAAGATATGAAAGGACGGCAGGTTAAGCCTAGAATTATCTATTAGGGTCGATATGAATTCTATCAGCTTTTCAAAGCTACTATATACATATAATACTGAGGCATCAAATTATTTGTCGATTCATAACTTAAAGGTTACAGATTCTCTAATAACACATAAGTCATGCAAATAATATAAACAAAATATTGTAATTATCCTATTAAGAACCCCGGGATTCCTTGTGTATTTTACATCAGAAATAGCGATTTCAACTTAATTAGAACAACAAAACTAGCACTTTGAAGTGGTATACATAAGATGAGGAGTCACGTGCCCTGAACGAAACTGAGGCTGCAACTTACTATAGAGTTTTACACCACGTTTAAGTCATGGTTGGTAGATAGATATTAATTCAAAATCAATCATAAAAAACAATCAGGCAAGTAAAGACTAATAACAATGGAAAAATGCACTAGTTGGTGTTCGAAGATACTTCAGAAGGAATTATAGAGAAGAAATGAACGTAGTAGTTAAACTTCTAGTAACCCAATTGTTTAAAAAAGGCCAGAAAGATAATTTTATATAACAGAGGCGAAATGAACGTAGTAGTTAAACTTCTAGTAACCCAATAGTTTAAAAAGGCCAGAAAGATAATTTTATATAACAGAGGCGAAATGAACGTAGTAGTTAAACTTCTAGTAACCCAATAGTTTGAAAAGGCCAGAAAGATAATTTTATATAACAGAGGCGAAATGAACGTAGTAGTTAAACTTCTAGTAACCCAATAGTTTGAAAAGGCCAGAAAGATAATTTTATATAACAGAGGCGAAATGAACGTAGTAGTTAAACTTCTAGTAACCCAATAGTTTAAAAAGGCCAGAAAGATAATTTTATATAACAGAGGCGAAATGAACGTAGTAGTTAAACCTCTAGAACCTAATATTTAAAAAAATGCCAGAAAGATAATTTTGTATTACAGGGATGAAATTAACGTAGTAGCTAAACTTCTACTAACCTAATACTTTAAAAAATGCCAGAAAGATAATTTTGTGTAACAGAGACGAAATGAACGTAGTAGCTAAACTTCTAGTAACCCAATAGTTAAAAAAATGCCAGAAAAATAATTTTACATACGGTTTATAAAAGTTGCTGTTTATAAAGCTAGAACAAAATATTAATATTTCCTAAGATTGTGTGCGAGTTGTAATAGATTTTATAGGTCTAAGCCCTTTTTACGAAAGTTTAGTCTAGATATAATGATTAAGGCCACACATAATATATTTATATATATATAAATTCCGTTTCGTTGCATCTATCCTAGAATGGCATGTACAGCATGTGTGCGACATTATTGCCCAGTGTTTTTTTTTTACTTTTCTTTCGACTCTTTATGTTATAAACATTTCGCAAATAATCCTAGCAGCAACCTTTTTTGAACTGAAATGAAGCCTCGTTTTCAGTTTGATACCATGCTATCATGTGGCGACCCCGCTCGGGAAAATTTCCCGTATTCGGAATTGTTTTTGTCAGTTCGTCACACGGAGTGTTCTAACAGACAATGATATAAAAGTGGTCAGTTATGGTGCAGTATGTGGACCCAATCAAAAGTGAATGGCAAAATGAAAAATAAATACAAGACAAGAATTCTAAAGTTAATTAATACCAGGATGATTGTGATAATGATTCTTCAACAATACATACATTGTGATAATGATTCTTCAACAATACATACATTGTGATAATGATTCTTCAACAATACATACATTGTGATAATGATTTTTCAACAATACATACATTGTGATAATGATTCTTCATCAATACAAACATTGTGATAATGATTCTTCAACAATACATACATTGTGATAATGATTCTTCATCAATACATACATTGTGATAATGATTCTTCAACAATACATATTATTTGGAAAGTAACTTCGCGACTGTAAACTGTTACTTGCACTTGTTGGTCAGGTTTCGTTTACATTTTATTTCATCATTTTTATTTGATTCTGTAGCACGTTCAGTTTTGAAGTTGTTTCATGAACATTGACCATCATGCATAATAAGGTCCTTTAGTACACAGTGCGCTGACCATCATGCATAATAAGGTCCTTTAGTACACAGTGCGCTGACCATCATGCATAATAAGGTCCTTTAGTACACAGTGTACTGACCATCGTGTATAATAAGGTCTTTTAATACACAATGCACTGACCATCATGTATAATAAGGTCATTTAATACACAGAGCACTTTCATCGCATTAATATTATTAACTTCTGTACCTCTCGTACATTTTGCAAAACCAAAGACAATTCGAATACTGCGTATACAATTTTCTGTTGATTTGTTTTCTTTTGATGCAGCCGAAGAAATATATTTAAATATAAAAACATATATATCATCCATATATAAATAAAATCAAAGTAAAAGTATTAGCAAACGGCGCAGCAAAATAAAATTTCGATTTTTTGGGGTTACATGAGACGCCCCCCCCCTTCTTCATCAACAGACGTTTAACCTTATAAACTGTTCCTGTATCTTATATTCAGTTACTTCCGGTCTTTGTCTACCTACCATGTGGATTTCGTAACTGAGCAAGCTGCTCCACTTCATTCCCCATCTGAAATGTAAAAAAAACAAACCAAAAACTTTATATATAACCGCATGTTTAACATTACTGAAAAGGTTTGAAAATATTTCACAGATTTTGTAAATTTAACTTAGAAAAAGTTTAGTTTGTAGAATTTAAAAATCCGAGTAATATTTCACGTCTTCCGAATCCGTTATGGAGAAAATATTAACTGAAAGGTCGATTTAAATGTAGCGTTTTTTAAGTCAAACTAATAACAGCAGATTGAGTAATAACTGGATATTATACTAAAAATTCAATTAAGTTTTGTATCATATTATTTGATAGAGTCTATGCCTTTTTATATGAGGTAATTCAGCAGTTTATTTTATTTGCTCCAATGGAGTTGGCCAGTAAAATTACGTATTGTTATTTTTGGCTGTCGTCTGATAAGGTCGTCTATGTTTAAAAGTTGTAGTTACACAGCATTAAGTACACGTGCTTGGAGGAGGATTTAACTTATCAACTAATTAAGGCCATTAGATTTTGTTCCATTGTTAACTAGTTGAGCTTAATGAATTTTACTCCGTCATTATCAATTATTCATGTTCCATTTTATAGTTAATTAGTGTCGACCTCTTTTGTTGTAGTGTTTTTTACGATTCACGACAGTGGTACGTTTGTATATCGGGTTTCTTAGATTGTCGTGTTTTTTTGCTGCGTTGATAACGATTGCCTCACCACAGATGGACATTTATTGTATTGATGAGTGGAAAAAAAAAGATACGTTTTATACTTCGTTATCATTCTATATACGTGTAACAGCTGCAGCCAGAAGTTACACACAAAACGGATCTAATTTAATTGAACCCCTCTTGCTTATTATTTCAGATAACACTAATGGAACGATAAAGGGCGAAATGGTGTTAGAATGCTTACTGTGTTTACGTATCTTCTACTTTCATTACACAAAGTGTGGGCCATATGTTATTGTATTCTATCCAGTATCACTTACACACACTTGAGGAAAGTCAACACGTGGCCCCAGCATAACTCAAGTATCGTTTCTAAAGCTAGGACTTAAAGGAAATGGTTAAGAGCACATTTTATATTGTTTCGATGACCAATTCAACGACATATTTTTTTATTACACTCTTAAAGAAGTGCCACTTCTAAAGGTATTGTTCAAAGTCATATTAACTGTGTTTTCATTTTTCGCAAATTACATAAATCAATTGTGCTCTTTTAAGATATTCTTGTAAAAAGCACTTGCATAAAACGTAGTTAAATACTCTTTCCTTTTATCAGAATTCGTTTAGTCAAGATTTCACTGAAAGAAGCAAAGATAAACTTCTTCGGATTCGTATGATTTTCATAATTAAAAAGTTTTAAGAAAAAAATAAAATACTTCACAGCGTAATATTTATTTAAGGAGAATTTAGGTTGACATATTGATTGCTATGTAAAGCATTTAGTTTAAGTAAAATTATTTTTGAAAAAATTTCTATCTTCGACTGATTTCACTCACTGAGAACAGTTCCAACTCCATAATGTCATGACCATTTCATTAGTTTTCAAAAGTTGCTTGGAAATAAACTTTAAAGTTTATAAAAATCGAACACCAAAATTACTGCCACGTGACATGCTAATCTAATCAACATTTTAAATTAAGTGTTACAGAAATTAAAATATTCTTAGACTGATCGTTTGAATCGTAGAAAATATCGGTTTCTGATGTTACCAAATACAGACGAATATATTTTTCTTTCTTGTTCTACAAGCCGTAAAAGAAAAATGTAATTGCGAATATAAAATTTTCTTTGAAAAACATTCCGCCATCTTGAAGAAGCCGGTTACTCCATTTATAACAGAATTTAACGGTGGCTAAGTGTCCTTAGTACCATCATGAAGAAGCCGGCTACTCCATTTATAACAGAATTTAACGGTGGCTAAGTGTCCTTAGTACCATCATGAAGAAGCCGGCTACTCCATTTATAACAGAATTTAACGGTGGCTAAGTGTCCTTAGTACCATCATGAAGAACTCAAAACAAGCTGATGTTTTTCCCTTTAGAAAGTTTTAATATCAGCACAAGTGAATGATAATAGTAATGACATCAACTGGAACGATTGATTTTATGAACTTAGATGTATTTCTTCTTTATTTTTGTATCGAATTTTAAACAAGTCTCAATGTGAACTGCAACAATTATAGTTAAAGGCGATTACGTTTTTTGTGCTAATAAGCCAATGATCATTGAATAAAAGTACTAAATTAAAGCATCATTTAGAGCCATCGCGTGTCGTGTTTAATGGGAGTATTCATTTTCATTTACAAAATTATTTTAAAATTGATTATGAATGCTGTAAAGTGGTCAGTCAGTTATTACTAGTTCATTTTAACATGTTAATCAAAATGACTGCGCAAGAGAGAAAATCATTTAATGAATTATGTGTTTATTTCAGACTATGTAGACGACGAAGATGTTTCAGTAATGTGGGTGTTTTAGCAATTCTATGCAGCTCGTTATTTCGTTATTTAAATGTTCGAGAAGAAAATTGTCCATTATTGAAACAGACAAAAAAATTCAGAAATTTCTACTTTCAAGAAGCGTTTGCACATACAGCCCCCTCCCCAAGTGGCACAGCGGCATGTCTGCGGACTTACAACACTAGAATCCGGGTTTCGATACCCGTGGTGGCAGAGCACAGATAGCTCATTGTGTAGCTTTGTATTTGACTTTAGAAAAAAATCAAATGCAAATATAGAATATTTGTTGCAAGTTTCAGTAACATTTATATACATCCTTTGTTGTTCTCTCCTTAATCATAGCAATGAAACATTTTCAGCAAACACTGATTCATCGTTGTCATTTAAAAGTCCTGTATGGTTTGTATCAATTAGTTTTGGAACTCGTTAATTAGAGACTGTTTTTATCTCAAAGTTAAAATCAGTGATTTATTAGATTCTCAGAATATACTTCGAATGTAATTTGAAATATACTTGTATGTGAAAATATTGATTTCACCAAATCACATCGCTTTTGGAAATCCTATCTTAAAATTTGAAGGTCCCTTAATATAAACTGTAATTCCACATTAATTGTAAAATAGTCCAATAAGATGCAGTAAATTCTGAAATCTCGTATCTTTACTTTCAACGAGCCAATCAGATCAAGAAATCCCATCATGACAGCTCTGTCCCATAACACGAGGCAGTTGAGACTGCGACCATACAAGTTTATTATAATGATCGTTTATGACTACAGACCAGAAGTGCAAAATTTCACATTGTATAGCATTACTGCATGAAAGTAATAACGTCTGGCATCCAAGTCAAACCAAATCTAAACTTTTATATTTGTAATGGATAAATTTTAACAGAAATATAAAACTACAGTTAAGATACAACACAATTCGTTAATTTTGTAAGTTTTATGATCTAACAGCTTGTTGTGTAAGATTTAATTATGGATATGTAGGTTTTTAAGTTTAATAATGAAAAATGTTTGTATCGAACCTTTCTCTCCCTACAAATGTTCATAACGAAACTGTCTATATTAGGGTTAGCGATAGTTTAATAGTGTACCTGTTTCTATATACTTGAGAAAAAAAAAACTTAATTGAAGCTAGATTCTGGAAGTTGCGCCATGTACGTCTTAATGATATCATTAACACTAATCTCCAATAACAATCCTCATTTAATCAAGCTAGCCTCGTTCCCAGTATTTGCATAGCACTGAGGTTTAACCAGTAAATCAAATACGAAGATTAGATCCTGATTGGATAGCTACTAGCACGTGACCAAGTACTGTAACAGGTTTGAAGAGCTTGTCTAATTACATCTTCCTTTCGCTCCTACACGTCTCTGTGATATGGAAGTTTGTTCGGAACATTTTTTGTTACCTAAGATATTTGAGAAAAATTAGTAACTTCGACAAAATTTATATCGTAACGCGTTTTTGTCAGCTAGTTCAAGGTTAGAATTAACAAAATGTCTTTGTTTAATTAATAATAAAATCACAGTTGAGTTTGTCTGAAACAACTACCATTTTACTCTCTCTATATCGTCAAGAGGTTTTGTTCATTACTGGCCCTAGCTAGGGACTTTAAGTAGACAACTACATTACAGGATAATTTACAACAGTTCTAGTGTGCTTCAAATTACTCTTTCCTTGGTTTATCAGGTATATTCGTTGTCGTATATAAAACTACAGGGCATTACTCTGGAGACCGTCTTAGATAAGTGAGTCGTTTAACGTCGACATCAAATAAGTTTATTACCTTAGCTATGACAACTAACATAAGTATATCGCATAATTTTAGAGTTAACTTACTAACATACTGAAGTTATCACACATTAGTGAGATTAGTTCAGCTATAACAAAATTAGATATTTACGCAAACAACAACAACATATCTCATCTATTCCACCCCCTCCAGCTTTATAAAAAAGTTCGAAAACAAGACTGTAGTTAATTCAATAGAGGATTTAACTTTCTTTTTCATACATATAAACGTATTACTTTTTTAAACTTTTATGAAGAATAATGAAAACTTAGTGAACATCTTGTTTATTGGTCACTTAACTTGAAAGAATGGACCTCCTTGGACATGTTAAGCACTCATTATCACTCATTATTAACACTTTAGGCATTTAACACTATTTTTGTACAATCGTTGTTTTTATTGACGTTTGTACACTGCTCTTAATTATAACTTACCCGCTCTTCCTCTTGTCTGCCTTTTGAGCCTGAAAGTAAAAACAGAACGTAACATTACACTGCGGCAAAAGTTTAATAAAATACTAACATAACGTAACTATATATCTTTTTTTTTGTATGATGTTCTTCTTGAAGAAATCAATACCCACGAAACATGCTGTCTCGTTAATTAACGGTTAGGCTCGACTCACAATCTGTGGGTCGCGGGTTCGAATCCTCTTCACCATACGTGCTCGCCTTTTCAGCCGTAGGAGTACTATAATGTGACGGCCAATCCCACTATTCGTTGGTAAAAGAGTTGGTGGTGGGTGGTTTGAATTTCGCGCAAAGCTGCACTAGGGCTATCTGCGCTAGCCGTCCATAATTTAGCAGTGAAAGAGTAGAGAGAGAGAATGCAGTTAGTCATCAACAGCCACCACCAACAAATAGTAGGATTGACTGTTACATTATAACGCCCCCACGGTGGAAAGAACAAGTATGTTTGCTGGGACGGGGATTCGAACCCGCAACCCCAAGATTGCGAGTCGAGCGCTCAACCAACTGGTCGTTGACTAGCTGCTTTCTCTCTATTCTATCACTCCTATCTTAGGGACGGTTAACTCAGATAGCCCTAGCGTAGCTTTCGCGAAATTCAAAACAAATCGCAAAATAATTACCATTTTAAGTCGACTTTCTACAGTAGATATAAGATTAAAACCCATTTGACAGTGCTGTCTTAAATCAAATTTCTTTAGCCAAAACTAACCAGAACGTAACTAAACAGATTATTTACACAGCAATTAATGTTTAAATGGAAAGTACTATTAGATATTTTGTTCTTATTTTCGGTCTATTTTCACTTTGAAAAACAGGGTCTTTTTCTGGACATTCCATTTTAATGTTGTAGTGTCGTTGAATTTTTGTAAGCGAGTTCAAGAAGCATGTATAAAAATCTTTAAAAAAATTCAAAATATAAGTTAATTTCTGTACTTTTCCAAACATTCCAAGCACGGGAATTACTGTGACACAAGAATGAATCCAAGTAGTCTTCTGATACAAATTATGTAGGTTATTCTTTGAAAAACCGCAATTAAATGGGAAATGTTTTTGTATTAACACAATAACACGTAAGAAAAAATTATGACATTCAAGTGCTCATCGCAAGGTTTTAATGACCAAATTTATCGTAAGAAATTCCCCCAATTAGCCAACCGTGATCTAATGGTTAGCATGCCAGGCTACGAATCAAAAGGTTTAATCACGCGCCATTATGAGTGACAGTCAATTTCTTTATTCGGTTTAGAGCCGTACAAAGTCATTGTGGTGATAGGTGCTACTAACTGGCTGCTGATAGGGGCAGCTATACTGGAACCCATACAAAGCCAGTTAGTAGCACCTCCCACCACAGCTGTACTGGAACCCGTACAAAGCCAGTTAGTAGCACCTCCCACCACAGCTGTACTGGAACCCGTACAAAGCCAGTTAGTAGCACCTATCACCACAGCTGTACTGGAACCCGTACAAAGCCAGTTAGTAGCACCTCCCACCACAGCTGT